CCTATGTCCCCCAGCTCTTTCCCTCACCCAGAATATCCCTGCCCCAATACCAGGAAGTGATCTGCCCTAATCATGCCACATCCTGCTCACATACTTAAATTTGCTCCCTACAGCAAAAGGCTTAAAACTTGCTCCGCATGGAGCTAGCAATCAGGGACTCCCATGATTTGCAGAATTTCCTGACTTATTCCTAACACTTGCTCCTGGTTCCCCACGTTTCAGCCAAACGGGAAACTTCCTGCTTCCCGCAGAGACACTCAGTGCTTGCTCACCTCCGGGCCCTGATGGTCTAGTCCCTCTGCCTAAAATCGTCTCCCCCAGTCCCTATCTGTTGAGATCCAAGCCATCCATCAGCCCAGTTTTCACTACATCGAGTCCATTAAATCTCCCCTGTCACCAGCTGGGGAAAAGATGTTTCCTTTCTCAGGGCTGTGACCTCCATCTCCCTCCCTCCCCATCATCTGCACTTACCGTGGGCTGGCCTGAATGCGGCTGGGTCAGGGGAAGGGCTGCCCCCAACTGTGTACATTTCCACAGAGGAGAGAGACCTCCCACCCCACGCCCCCGGGGAAAATATGAGCACAGCCCTGGCTTTCCCTCTGCCCACAACCTTCCCCGCAGGAGGACACGATGCATTATCTGACTGGCAAGCTTGGAAGAAGGGCTAAGTAAGTGCTCCCTTATTACTCATGTAACCAGACGCTATTCCAAACCCCTTACAAGAATTAGGTCTTCGCAAGAATTCTGTGAGGTAGGTACTATTACTATTGCCATTTTGCAGACAGAAACTGGGCCAGAGAGGTTAAGTCACTCGCCAACGTCACACAGCACAGACTTGAACTGGTTCAGTCTAGCTCCAGAGCCCATATGCTATGCTGCCTCCTGATGCACATGGTTTGGGCTCTTTCTCTCTCTCTGCTGGGGAGAATCTGCCTGCTGTGTGGGGTTTCCCTCCGTTCCTGCCCTGCACATGGTCAGCACGTGTGTCTGGGCCAGGTCCTGCCTCCGAGAGGTAGCCTGGGAGATCTACTGCTTGCTAGCCCCTCTTCCAGCCCGCCAGATGTGCAGCTGCAATTCAGGAAGAGACACCGGCTCTGGGGACCCAGCACTGCCTCAGATGGGTGACCCAAGGTCCAAACTGCGAAGGAGGAGCAGTAGAAAGCCCCAAGGTGGCCACACATCCAGACCACATTCTCCAAGCGGCTAAGCTGACCTCTAGCCCTCCACCTGCCTGCCACCTAAGCTGGAAGGGAGAGTTTGGTGTAATTACTAACCACCCCTATAACCCCAGCAGCAGAAAGATGACCAGGCACAGGCCCTGCCCTTTAGGAGCTCAGACTCACAAAGGTGATCACTCAGAGACTCCTGTCGTAAGGGGCACTCAGCTACAAACGAGGGCCGCGCAGCTCCTTGTACACAGGTGTGGTCCTTTTGCAGCTGGGAGAACACAGCCAGAGGAGAGGTGGGTGCAAAGGTTTCCATACTAACAAACACAGAGGTGAATTCTAACTCCACCACTGGCTTGCTGTGTGACCTTGGGCGAGTCACCCACCTCTCTGAGCCTGTATCCTCATCTGTACAGTAGGGATAATAATGCATCCCCCTGAGGGGCATTTCGAGGGTTAAATGAGATATCCTGTGACAATCCGTAGGCCAGGCCAGTCCTCTGTAGACATTTAAGTGGTACATCTATACCCCCCGCAATTCTGTGCTTTCAGCGGGGAGGGCTCAGTGCCTGCACATGCTGGTGTCCATCATCGTGTTGGTATGAACGACAGCACTTCCTTTCACACTGCTTAATCTGCAGAACCACCCTAAGCCATAGGCACTTTCACCTCTGTTTTACAAACGGGAACTTGAGGCTCAGAGAGGTGAAGTGATGTGCCCAGGGTGGCTCAGCAGTATGGCCGGGGCCATGTCCACCCGCCGGGCGGAGTGGCTGAGGTGAACCCTCTCTTCCCCCACAGCCCACTCGCGCCCTGCTCCAGAGTTATGTCCATGAAAGTGCTCACTCAGCGCATGCTGGGAGGGAACCACAGACCCCTGTGGAACCAGGAAATGATCGCCTGGCTGCCTCCCAGCCCAGACCGGATTAAAGAGCAGTAACCAGATCCTGCTGGGACGGAGGGGAAACCAAGGCTGCTGCGTGAGTGATGAGAGATGCGCTTGCACATGGGGAGGACCCGGCCTCCTGTTTCCTCACATCTGGATGGGTGTGCAGGCCTTGTTTTATTTCATTTCACTCTGCCAGAAAGATGCAGACCTCTTGGCCAGAGTTCAGAGCAGATCAGAAAGCGTGATTCAGAGCTGGGAGGGACACATGTGTGAGAAAAGATTAGCAGGGGAGGAAGAGACAAGGTCAGGGGTGACTCAGGGCACATCAAAGCTGCAGGGCTCAGCAAGACGAGATGAGGAATCTTTTCCTGGGGCCCGCGGTAGCTCTGGAGGCAAGAGGGAAATTCAGCCAGCGTGACAGAGAATGCCTCAGACCATGGGCTGGGGCAGGAACGGGGAATGGGAAGGAAGATGTGTGCTAGGAATTCCAGTGGCTCAGGTTTCCGCGGGTCAGTGTGGGGCAGTGGACAGAGCTGGGCGGTGGTGGTGGACATGGCGCTTTCCTGTCCTGGCTCTGTCACCTACCAGCTCTGTGACCTCAGGCAAGGCACTTCCCTCTCTGGGCCTCAGTGAGCTCCTCATTTAGTCAGTACATGTTTCCTGAGGACCCACCATGTACTGGACATTGCCAAGCACTGGGGACAGAGCGGTTTAGGTTGGAACCAACAGGTCCAAGGGTAGTTATGAGAGCATCACACAGGAGCTCCTAACCATGTCTGGGAGGGCAGGGAAGCTAACTTGAGACCAGGAGGGAGCAGAAGGGGAGAGAGAGCAGGGTTCCAGGAGGGAACAGCTTGTGCAAAGGCCTCATGGTTAGAGAGAGCAAAGCTTGTGTGAGGAATACAGAGGACTGCAGGGGCAGAGTGCGGAGATGCAGTGGGGAGGAATGGGGGGCCAGCTCCTGGAGGGCCTTAGGGGCCGCTACGAACCTGTGACTTTATCCTGAGGCTGTCCTTGTCCCGGGATGGTAAGCCCTGATGAAGTGGGGTTACAGGACCAGAATGCCCAAGTTCAAGTCTCAGCTTCACATTCTGCTGGGACTATGTAATTAGACAAGCTGCTTAACCACCTGTTTCTTCATCTGTAAATTAGGGGTGCTATTATCTACCTCATACATTGTTATGGCGATCAAATGGGTTAATACATATAAGGCATCTAGACTGTGTACCAGTGTCTGGTATACAGTAAGCACTCAATAAGTACTGGAGATTACTGTTGTCGGGACACTGTGTGTAATGCTACCAGCAGACTTCCTCGCACCTCAAAGAGTTAGTTCTCTCCTCTGAAACTTCCTGTCCATGCGTCCTTTCCATCCTGGCTTCAACCCAGGGCCTGGCCCTCCCCAGTCCCGGCTTTCCTGGAGGGTGGTGGCAGGAAGCGGGCTGGCATGTCACAAACGAAGGCTAAGGCCAGGGGAGCCAGAGTATGGCTGTTTCCTAGAGCTTCCTCCCCACCTCATACACTGTGTCTGAGGCTGACCTAGGACCGCCCAACAATTGGATCAGAATAGGGTCAGGGGTGGGGTGGGAAGGCCCCCAAAGCAGGCATAGAGGGCAGAAAGCTATTCACTTTCACAGGCTCACAGTTTACACAGCACTTCTACCAGGGGGAGAGGATCTGCCCATCATCTGTGAACCCCTGGGACTGGAGTCATTAATCCTGTTTTATAGATAAGGAAACAGAGGTCCAGAGAGGGGAAGACAAAGTGACACACAAGCTGGTGTTCAGGGTGGGACTCAAACCCGGAATCGAGAGGCGCACAGGGACTAGATTGTGGAGGATCTTGACAGGTCTGCCAAGGCCCCTGCTGCCCACTCCGTCGTGTCCCACCCACCACCCACTCCCACCACTGGCCCACTTCGTGTCTAGCCATCACAACCCATTCAGCATCCCTCCCAATTACTAGGTCCACCCTCTCAAGCCTCAAACTTTAGCACTTGATTACCCCATTGCTTGCCTGGAGCAACCACACCCAGGCTGGACAATGCTAGGAAGACACCTCCTCCAGGAAGCCTTCCTTGCTCTTTACGCATCTACTCCTAGCTGGATTGGGGGCCCTCTCAGCCTCCAGCACTGAAAGCTTGCCAAGGGCAGGCACAGAAGCTGACTCACCTGTCGGCTCTTGCCTGGCACAGGTTGAATTTCTTTCCCAAACTCTTAAATCTGGTCTGGCCTTTTGACTTGCTTTGACCAATAGAATATGTCAGAAATGGCAATGTGCCTGATCCCAGCTTAGATCTCAAGAGGCTTCTGGGCTTCTGCCTTCTCTCTCAGAACTTTGCCACACCATGTAAATAATACCAACTCGCCTGCTAGAGGGTGAGATGCCATGTGGACCAGAACTGAGTTATCTCAACAAAGGCTCCAGAGTCCAGCCAAGTTCAGCAGAGTTTCCTCTCACCCACAACTGACCACAGATGTATAAGTGAGACCAGCTGAGTCCAGAGACATTTCCAGCTGGACCTATAGGCTTGTGAGCAATAATAAATGCTTATCATTTCACACCACTGGGTTTGGGGAGCTATTTGTTACACAGCAATAGCTTACTAATAAAAAATGCATAAATAAATGACCAGAAGTAAATGTATGATGCAAACACAACATAGAGGATGGAGAGATGGAATGCCTGCCTCTTGGTCCTCTCACCTTATACACGTCATGGTTGCCCAGAACAGCATCAAAGAGTGTGTAGAGGTCATTGAGCAAGCCCACCACCTCAATGGGCTCACTCAGGGCTGAGATGGTGGTAAAGCCTACAGTGTCACTGAAGTATATGGTAACCTGGTCAAAGTGCTCTGGCTCCACAGTCGCCCCCATTTTCAGAGCTTCAGCCACAGACCTGAAGGGATGGGAAGGGCCAGAGTCACAAGGTGGGAGGACCATCTTTCCACAGTTGGAAGTGAGAAAGGGATATTTGGGGGAAAATCCTGGGTTGAGTGTCAGGGGATCTGGGATAGCCCTGTTGGTGTGCTAGCTCCCCTCCAGCAAATACCTGCCCCTCTCTGGACATTATTTCCTCTGAGGCCAGATGGGGGACCCTGTGCCTTGTCCTTGTTCCCTAGGGAGAGAGGCAGCAGAAATTCAATGCTCATGTGCCCCCAACAGTGCCTAATACATGTAAGCATTCTATTAAAATATGTTGGATAAATAAACAATGAATGAACTGAATGAATTAATGGAACCCAGATTTACTGAGCACCTACTATGTCCCAGGTCCCATGCTCAGAGCCACTGAGGCTAGAGCCACAACCAAGTCCACTCACGGCAGGAGCAACTGAGAGAGCAACCTTTCCATCTTCTGTCTCTCCAACCCCAGCTCCTCAGTCCACTCCTGGATCAGGTCCTCCAGGTTCTGGGAATACTTCTCCAGCAACTGCAGCATAGAATCAGCAACACTGGTCTTCTTGCCTGGGTTGATGCTTTTGAACTGAAAATGGAATGAAAATCCCAATTTGTCCATGAAGGTCAGCACACTTAGCCCTCAGGTTGAGAATCTGGACCACAGGAATGAACCAGACATAGTCCCTGCCTGGAAGAGCCAGATGATGGGGAGCAGATACGTAATAGACAAGGGATGGCAACTCTGACAAGTGAAAGCACAGATGGCTGGGAGGAAAAATCGGTTGGTTCTCTATGAGGTGAACAGGCAGGGAGAGGACTCTGCAAAGGAAAGTTTGCCCAGCATTGCATCACCATTAACAAACACACTGGTTCTCACAAAAGCACTGTGGAAGAGGCATTCTTTGTTCTCAAAGATAAGTGGATGGATGGATGAAGAGATGGGTAAATAGATAAAAGCAATGTATGTAGATTATTTACATATATAATCTATTTCTACCTCTTTATTTCTCTCCCTTTTCAAAAAATTGTTTACAAAATAAAATAATAAATATGTAAGGGCGCTGGGACCAAAGGAGAGTAAAGGTTAAAAAAAAAATGTTAATCCAGGAGTGAGGTCCATATGCAAAATGCATGCTAGAATTTGGTCACAATTTTGGATATGAGCTTCCTAGCAACAAAGCAAAGAGGGAAATAGAGATTACATAATCTATGGAGTCCATAAGACAATGGAGTATTAAACTAGTTGCTCAAAAGGAACACAACTACTGCTGGTGCTGAGCAGAGAGAAATACCTCTCTTAGGTCTTCATAAGAGGACATTCACATGTTGTTATAAATTGTACCTTCAACAACAACCCTATAGGAAATATGGCACCCAGTTTCCTAGGGAGACTCCCTAGAACCTTCCCCAGTATGGTTTGCACCTTCCCAAAGGGCAGTCAGTAGGAGAAGCAAATTAATGATGATCAAAGTGGAGGGGTTCATTCCTGTCTAAATCCAGCATCTCGACCTTTGTGTGTGTGTAGGTGTGCATATCCAACCTTCATTAATGCTGCTTCTCTCAGGCAAATGTCTGTAAGGTAGGGAGTAGCTGCAGCCCCTGAAGGGCACCTATTTTGTATTGCTCATCCAAAGCAGAGGCATAAGCTTTAGAGGTCAGTTGCCATGAGTGTGACAGCTGCTGACCTGGAGACAGCAATATGGACAAGAAGCTGACTGTAAGGTCATCTCTGCAAGGAAGGTCCCCATTTTATAAATTAAGACACAAAGGATCTGAGAAATATAACTTGCCAAGGACAACATAATGGTGGAACAGAGTTTCAAACTGAGGTCTATTATATATTAATGTTATCACCAGCCACCCCTCTGAATTATTTTATCATTTGGAATGTGTTTTCCATTGTTTCCCTTGCATTGCCCAGGAACAAAATCATAGGATCTACAAATAACAATCACTTTCTTCTTCCTTTACAACATTCATTTTCTTGCTTAATTGCATTGGCTGGTACTCCCAGAACAATGTTATATGAACATAGCCCAAGTCTTTCGACTTCAAGGTCAGTGCTCTTTCTCCTCATTCCCTCCTCAGAAAATTACTTTTTTTTTTTTTTTGGCTTGGTTATTTCACTTGATGGTCACACCAACATGTCAAGTGAGACCAGAGTTAGTCTTTCTAGGCATCACCTAAGGAGATCTGAGGCTCAACAGGGCAGTCAATTTGGCCAAGATCAAGTAGTAGGTAAGTGGCAGCATAGATCTGAATGCAGGCCTTCTGACCCTTAGCCTCCCCACAACGTGATGTAATTCTCACCTTCTGCATGTGAGGTATATCATGTGCCTGTCTCTGCCTTCTCTGCCACTGAGCCCTAGGCAGCCTCACCCCTCACTCAGGGCAAGAGCTTGCTCCCCCACCTCACTAGCTATGGCAATCTCTGACCCCTGGAAAGATTCTAGGCTGGTGTTTTAAGAACTGGTTGCTCGTCCGAGCTCTGCAACCCACCCTCACAGAGGCCACTGAGAGCTCACTCACTCTGAGGTCCAGATTTCCCATAGGACACCTGTGTGCTTCTCCTGTCTTCCTGCCTCTCTCTCCCTCATCGCCTGTCTGGAAGCCCCTCTCACTCACTGAACCTGTCCTTGGCAACGTTCCACTGTGGCTGGGGAGTGCAGGGCGGGAACGGGAGGCACGGAGATGTCACCTCAGGCTTGATGGGTTGCTCTGTGGGAGCCATTAGCCTGCTCAGTCAGGCCCACACACCCCACCACCGCCCTGAAAACTCGTACGGGCTTGCCTCCCCCTCCCAATGCAGTCCCCAAGGCAGGCCTGGGGGGCCCCAGTCCCCCTCACATCTTCAATTCCCTGATGCGGGGAACCAGCACTGCCTACACGGCCACAAATGGCCCCTCTGCTCTGGTGCCAGGAGGCCCGGCACAGGGTTGGGTCCCCCGCATCAGCACTGCAGAGACAAACCTGGGTTTGGGTTCCAGCCCCACCTTTCACTCTCTCACTTACCTTTGGCAAGTCCCCTCACCTCACCGTGCCTGGGTTTCTCTCTTGTAGAGCCCAGATAACAGCTATGCTTCCTCGGAGAGCTATCATTAGGGTTAAATGAAGTAAGCACAGCACTTAGCACGGGTCTTGGTGCTCAGGAAGGCAAGTGTCCCTGAACCCAGAGTTCTGAGAAAGCTTTCTTCAAATGGTGGACCTCGGGCCTCACCCTCAGCGATGACGATGCTGGCCCATTGCCCCCTTTCTGCACAGTGGTTCCAGGCCCTGGGGAGAGCGTGGGGCCCCCGCTGCGGAAAGTGAGGTGAACTGATCATCCGTTTCTTGTGAGCAGCCAGCTCCTCTGGGGATGCTGACCTGGGTGTAGATCTGATCCAGGTTGGGTCTGTCCTCCGGGGCCTCCTCCCAGCACAGCTCCATCCGCTGGATGCACTCAGGCGGCCCGTGGTCGGGAGACACCAGTGGCCGGCGCAGGGGAGGAGGAGACACCACCTCCCTGATGATTTCTGCAACAAGCACGGGCCGGGCAGTGGGGCTGAGGTCCTCAGGAGGGCTGGTAGGAAGGGGTGGGCCTGGGATCCTGAGACGGAGGGCAGCGTGGGCCCGTGGGGTGCAGACATCAGGCCCCGAGGGTATTCCTCAGCCCCTTGATCTGTGCCCCGGGACGTGCTGGCCAGTGGGCCAGGATCGCTGTTTTCCTGGGTCTGCCCCAGAGTGTGGCTGGGGAAGGGGTCTCAGCCTGGGAGACAGGTGAACAGGGTTTGAATTCTGGATCCGCCACCACCTCTCTATGAGATGGTGAACAAGACAGCAATCTCTCTGAGCCTCGGTCTCCCCATCTGTGCAACGAGCTTAATAAACTGCCTTCTTAAGAGGGGCGCTGAGGGAGGAGATGACAGAAGCTAGATCTCGGGGTACTAGGTTCACTCCAACCCCTGAACCCTGCACAACTTGTTACTGCTCTGTTACCAGCAATGACCACGAATGTGCTCGAGACCTGCGCAGTGCAGCTCTTTCTACCAGCCCTGCCACCTGGAGGCTGTCTGGTACCAACTCTCCGCAAGTGTGAAGAAAGACTCTCTGCTTATCGTTATCCCCATCATGATGACTCGTCTCCCAGGACCACCCCCGCTGTGCATCTTCCTGTCCCCGCTCCACATGATGAAGACCACAGACTAAGTCCAGATCAGATAGATCGACGATCCGGCTCCGTCTCTGCCACTTGCCATCACTCTGTGCCTCGGTTTCCCCACCTAACAACCAATGGAAATAACCCCACCTCAGGAAGCTGTAGTGGGGGCTGGGGGAGCTGAGAGATTCACAGGAGCACCGGGAGGAGGTGAGGCTGGGTACTAAGCTCAGGCTCTCAGCGGCACAGGAGAGGACTTCGAGATTATCCACTTATATTCTGTACACGTTTTGCCATCTCTCTGAGCCTCAGTTTCCTCACCTATCAGAAGGGCATAATAATAGTACAGACCGCACAGGGCTGTTAGAGGTATAGCAGGCTAATCTCTGAGGAGGGCTGAGATCCTCCTCAGAGACGGTGAGGAGGTGGGTCCCTTGGAACCAGTGAGGAGAAGCTTCTTTCTGGATTTCCCTTGGCTGGCCTCCTTGTTGGGGGCAGCCCATGATTCACTGTCCCATTTTACAGACAGGGAAACTGAGGTTCTGGGGTGGTAAACTAGGTCACCCACAGCCACAGGGTCAATAACAAGCAGATGCTGGAACTGAGCCTGATCGCCTCCCAGCCTAAACGATTTTCTCTGCCCAGAGGTTCCCGGTCTGCAGGCGTCAGATCCTGAGGGCCTCTGAGTAAAGGGTCTGGGAAGCTGTATGTGCTTGCAAAGGAGTGTGTGCAGATGGAACCAATAATAGATCACACACACACACATGTCCAGCTCTTTTTCAAAAGTATTTGGGTGGTGTTGCGATGAGTAAAATACAGATCCATTTCAAAGTGTTGCTGATTTCAGAGCAGATTTTTGTCTTTGGGCATTTCCTCAGTCAGCGGATATTAAAAGTCAAATAGTAGCATGTGAAGCTCCAAACTCTTTTGTCATTAAAGTGGAGTCCTCACAGGCAAGCATGTTGGGAAACCCTGGCCCAGGCCAGGCCGGGTCTCGGGTTCCCTCCCCATGCTGAGCCTGCTGTCCACACCCAATGCATCACTGTGATGGACCAGCCCTGCTGACTGCTGACCGGGTAGGCTGCACATCCAGCTCCATAGAGAAGTTGTTCCGTGGATGACTCCAGGAGATTTTAGGGCAAGAGCACTGAGCTCACCCAAATCCTAGGCCCATGGCTTCCCGCTAGGGAGTCCCTTCCCCTCTCTGAGCCTCACTTCATTCATCTCTGAAAAGAGTGCTCTAGCCCACCTCACAGGGTTGTCCAATGGGATAACCCATATGAAAATGCTTTGGAAACCACAAGTATCCCTCCCCCCCGCCCCCAGCCACCACAGGATCTTAAAAAGATGCTATTTCTAAGAGCAAGGAGGTCTGCTTCCAACTGGGAGAGTCAGGAGAGAACATGGGATTCCCCACACTAGCACACCCCTAAAACCACCCAGTATGCCAGGCACTTTGTCTAAGGCATTTCGCTGAATCCTCACAAATACTCTGGGAGGCAGGCATCATAGTCCCCATTTTACAGTTGAGAAAAATGAGGCTCAGAGCCTGAAAGAGATTTATTCAGAGTCACAAGGTGAACTGGTGTGGAGCTGGTCTCAAGTCCGTGTCCCCCAAATACTATGCTCTTGACATTTTACTGCCTGAGACCAGGAAAACTGCAGCCAGGGAGTAGCAGGTCCAGGACTGACAGCCCAATCCAGGGGTGACCCTGGGGTTCCTGACCTCATCCCTAAAGCATGAGAAGTCCTGGTCTGAAGGGCCCTGCACGGTGGCATGGCTGACAGACCCATCCGGCTGGCCCCCCCTCTCTCAGCAGGCGGATGTTGCCTGGGGTGGCGGAGCAGTTGAGGAGAGTTGAACAAATGGCACGACCAAGCCCCTACCCTTCCCACTCTTCCACCCCATAAATCTGGGGCCTGGAATGCTCATTATTCATGGAGCAATGCTTTGTGCAGAAAAGAAGCGAGGCCAGGCCTCCCCTTGAGTTAAAGATTATCCATCTGGGGTGGGAGGGGTGGTGGGTTCTGCTCCATCCCTGCCTGTACTGCAGGCCGAGATGCAGGGTGTATGTGAGCCAGGTCCCTGGAACCGGACAGAGGCAGCAGGGGGACAATTAGAAGAGCAGCCTCGAGTCCAGGGAGCCCCGACAGAGAACACAGAAGGGGAGGAAATATTTCTGAAGTTGGGCCCTGGCACTGGGGTCAGAAGAGAAAGTGCCTAAGACCAGGTGATGATGAGGAAGGTGTGAGTGATTACACCCAAAAGCAGGGGGACAAAGATGCTCTTCAAGGAGCCCCACTCAGGCAGAGGACCAAGCCCCCAAATACTGAGCAGACTGGTGACATCAGGCATGGACCGGATGTCTGACACATTTTTAAATCTGATCCCCACTATAAAGATGGGAAAACTGAAGCTCAGAGAGGGTAAGTGACTTGTGTAAGGTCACGTAGTAAGTAAGTGATCCAGGGGGAGTACTGAGGTCTACATAGACTCAAAGTCTGTGCTGGGCAGCCCGGTGGTAAGGGCATGAGCACCTCCGGACACGGCAATGACATTGGGAGAGGAAGGAAAGGGTTGGGCTTATACCCAGAAACCAACGTCTTTAGGCCTGGAGCTGGTCAGCTGCCATTTTGGCAGAGTTGCTGGAGGTTGCCTGGTTTAAGTCAAAGAAACCCAATTCTTGGTGTCAAACCAGGCATGTGTGTCTGTGTGGTTATTTTCAGGCCCCAATTTCCTGATGCTCACAGAGCTCCTCAACTACATGGGGTCTCCGCCAGAGACAGGCCAAGGAAGGAGGAGGACGATGCTGTACCTTGCGCTGAGAGCCCTGGGGAACCATAGTGCGGGCCCCAAGTCAGCACCTCCTGCAGGATGATGCCGATCTGAAGGTGTCTCCTTTGAGGGTGCCCCGCCCGGGTTCCCCGGGCCCCCGCAGCAGCTCCAGAGCTGTCCACAGCAGCACTGCAATCACCGGATGAGGCCCCACAGCCCTCCTGACCACCCAAGCTGGGAGGCACTTCACACATGTGGTGTTATCGTCCTGTCCCTACAGCCCCGGAGGAGGGAGGTGCTTCTGTCTTCCCCCATTCACAGGTAAGGGCCCCGAGGTTCAGAGAGGAAAAGCCATCAACTCAAGGTCACACCACAGGAGGTACCAGAGCACCGGACATCTCTCCCTCTCCCCTTGCCTCACAAGCACCCAGTTTAAACAGAAGCCTCAGAACCTACTGGCAGCCTCCTGCCCACCCCTGAGCTGACCTTCCGGGGCTGGCCGGGGGCGGGGAGCCCGCTGAGCATCCAGGAGCTCTGCATAACCCTGGTCAGTGACCTTTAGCACAAAGCGTCCAGCCACCACACAGTTTCGGGACTTGAGGCAGCCATGAGGGAAATGCCGATGGTGTAGATACCACACACCCTGGAGTGGAATGGGGGTCCCTTAGGCCTGTGGTGAATGAAAAGGACCCCTGCTTCTCTCAGAATTCCCACGGACCCCAGGAAACCTTCCTGCCTCCCCCTCACCCTTTGCCACACTGTCAGATTTTTCTCAGTTAGACAAAGTGGAAAGAGCCCAGGCCTAGGAAATCCGAGCACCTCTTGTCTCCCTTCCCTCCCCGTTGCCTCCACAGCTCCAGGTTTGAGAAGCGTTCTCACACGGATCATATCCAGCACCAAGGAGGCCTTGAAAGTCCAGTCCAGCCGCAGAGCCTCATTCCGCAGCAGGTCCTCCAGGCTGCCCCGGGCACAGTGCTCCAACACAAGAGCACTGACCCCAGGGGCCACAAGAAGCCCAGGAAGGTGGCAATGTTCTCATGCTGAAGCTCCTGCATCTGCCAGGGCAATGGTCACCTTAGCAGCCCCCAGGGGACTCTCAAAGTGTGGACATCTGACCCCCAGTACTTAGCACCCAGCACACAGCTGAGCACAGAAAGGCATCAGAAATGTTGGATGGATGTGATGGGTGGATGGATGGATGGATAAAGGATGAATGGATGGATGATGGATGGATGAATGATGAATGAGTGGGTGGATGAAATGGGTGGATGGATAAGTAGATGGGTGGATGGATGAATGAATGAGCCAGCGAAATGAGTGTATGGAAGCATCATGGATGAATAAGTGAATAGGCCGTAGTCAACTCCACAGAATAGGGATCTAGGCCTATTCTCAACCTAAGTGACATCATGGACCTAGAAACTGTGTAAATTCTCTCCCCAAGACTCAGAGACTGATGAGCAGAAGAGCAGAAGAGATCAGGCACAAGCAGAAAGCAGTCCAGCAGGTCAGAAAGCTCGAATCCAGCCAGCAAGGCTAGCATTCGCCCAAGCAGGAAAGATGAAACCATTGTCTGGCATGGCCTTCCTCACAAAACCAGTTCAGGGGTCAACTACGTGGAGGAAACCGGAATACTCTTCCCCCTCCTTAGAGACTTGCATGCTTATTAGCATACGCAGTGAGGTAAGAATGGCCTCAAATCCTTTGACACCCCTGCTGTCAAGAGCTTGGGCCTCTGACCCCTCCCCTTGAATCTGAGCAGGCTCTGTGACACTGTGACCAATAGAACGCGGTGGAAGTGATCTTGTGTGTTTTGGGTCCAGGTCTTAGGAGACTGACAGCTTCCATTTCCTGTTTGTTGGAGCCCTCTCAGTCGGAGGCCTGAATGCTCATAAGAAGTCCCTCTACCCTGAGTCACCACACTGGCGAGACCACGGGGAGAGGCCCTGAGACTGTCCACAGTGGGAAGGCATGTCCTGATGAGTCCTCTCTTCCAAGCGCCCAGCCAAGGCCCCCAAGCATGCAAGTGAAGACATCTGAGGCCTTCTAGACAGGGGGTCAGCAAACTTTCCTGTTAACGTCCAGATGGTAAATATTTTCGGCTTTGTAGGCCTTGCAATCTCTGTCACAAATACTTTTGCCATTGCAGTGTGAAAGCAGCCATAGAGAGTTCCATAAACGGATGAGCATGGCTGTGTTCCAATCAATTTTTTTTCTACAAAAACAGGCAGTAGACTCGATTTGACCTGAGAGCCAAGCACTGACAGCCCATTTACAAGCCGAAAAACCACTGAGTGACCCCCAAGACAGGTCAAGTGGAACTGAAGAACTGCTTGGCTGAGCCCTGCTCAAATTTCCTACCCGCAAAATTGTAAGATATCATAAAATGGTTGATGTTTAAAGCCACTACATTTCGGGATAAGTTGTTACACAGTCATAGATAACCAGAACAGCATATTAAAGGTTCTGAGAAGTCCTGTGTCTAAGCCAAGAAACTTCCAAACTCATTTGCCCACAGATAGAACCTTTTCTTTTAAGAAACATCTACACATATTGATTGCAAGAGTCCCACTGGGAAATGCCTAACCTAACCTCCAGACACTGAATCGCTCCGAAGCTGATTCCAGATGGTGGTGATGTTGGAAATAATAATAAAATCCACAATTTTCCAAAGGCACTCTACTTGCCAGAGACAGTTCTAGGTTATTTCATCAATTCTCTCCAATCCTCATAATTCCCCTGGGGTGGATTTCATTAGCTCCATTTTACAGGAAAGCTAAGTGTCCTATGGAGGCAGGATTCCATCTCAGGTCTTCCTGACTCAAATCTTATGCTCTGTCCTCCATCCCATAGTGCTTCTCGGGATGGTGGCCATCTCGGGGGTGAAGGGGCTTATGTGAGTAGTGATGAAAGGTGACTGGAAGCTCCCCGAAGAAAGGAATCCTGTCTCTTTTCTCCACAGCTGTGTCCCCAAAGCCCAGAGCATAGGCAGTGCTCAAAAAAATAGTGGACAAATGAATGGATGTGTAGAGGGATGGAGGATACAGTTGAGGTCCTTCAGTGGTGCTGACTGTACCATGTGAGGATAGTGACGAATAGGAGTGCGCCCCTGGTAGCCATGCGGATGATCATATTGGGGTGGTGATGTGCCGTTGGGGATGCTGGTGTGTGATGGTGACAGTGATGGTGTATATCTGTGATGACAATGGGGCAGTGATCATGATGATTAGGAAGCACTTCCTTTTTTGAGGCTAGAAGCTTCTGCATTGAGTAAAGACCAATCCAGACCGGTAAGGGTCTCCTGACAGCACCCCGTCCGCAGCCCACCCTCCACGCCCTCTGCAGCTCTACCTTTCTCAGGAGGCTGAGGCAGCCTGGCCGCAGCTCAGGGGCTGTGCCAGCTTCAAATTTCTTCAGCCACACCCACTCTCCCTGTTTAAGAAAAGACAACAAGAGTTCACCCCCTGCTGGTCCCCACCTCCGGCAAACCCTCCGCCTCTCTCAGCCTCAGCTTCTTGCCCATAAATGTGCTCTTTCTGTGTGCTTCAAGCCAGGAAGAGCCCGGCCAGCGGAAACTAGTCAGACTTTGTGTCCTTTGGTTGACAGACCTCAATTCTAGTACTCACTCCACCACTTTCTAGCTCTGCGACCTCAGACAAGGGACTTCAGTTTTCTGAACTTCGTGTCCCAATTCTGTAAAGCGAGGATGACACCCACACCCACATTGAGAGAGCTAACGAGATAGTGGATAGAAAGCGTGTTAGCTCCCGGCACCGAGGTCTGCTTTACTCTGCAGGCCTCGGGCACCTATGACACCCCAAACCCAGCGAAGTGAGGGGGTCTCTGTGACCCAGGAACCCTAGGGGAAGAGAGAGGGGAGGGTGGGGGGTGGAGACAGAATCCTGGTGCCCCGGGGTGGAGTGGAATTCTCAGGAACACCAGGCGGAAGGAGACCACACAGAATCTTGG